TAGAAGCACCGGGACAGCACATGGACTTAGACTTTCCCTCACGAATCCCTTGGCTATCAACTCATCCACAGGTCTCTGAATTTCCTTAGTTTCTTCGGGATTCATTCGGTATGCCAGCTTGTTGGGTAGGGCAGCCCCGGGGATGAGGTCGATCTTATGCTGGATGTCTCTCTTGGGTGGTAAGCCATGTGGGATATCCTCGGGGAAAACATGGGGAAACTGAGTGAGGATGGGTTCGGCTAGGGGGTGAAGTATTGGGGCAGGTGTGGGTGGTTTGGTTTCCTCATTCTCAAAGAGAATGAGTTCTTTGATAGGTGCAAGTTCATGGAGTTCAGTTTGCAGGATGGTGGAGATGAGCATGGGGTTTTCTTCCTTGGGGGGTGGTGAGGCCGTAGGTGAGGAGTGGGTTAAGGAGGTGAGTGTTATCTTCTTTTTGTTGAGGAGGAAGGAATAGGTTTTGGCATATCTATCATGGAAAACTCGTCTATCAAATAACCATGGTCGACCCAAAAGGATGTGGCATGCATCCATCGGAATGATGTCGCACCATATTTCGTTGGAATAAGAATTTCCAATGCTTAATGAAACCAAACTTCGTGAATCCACTCGTAATCCCTTCCCGTGAATCAACCACTGAATCGTATATGGTTTAGGATGTGGGGAAGTCTTAAATTTCAATTTCCCAACTAACGTCTTTGAGGCTACGTTGGTGCAACTTCCACTATCGACAATTAAAGAGCATGACTTCTTCTGGATGGTACAACGAGTCTGAAAGATGTTTTCTCGTTGTACTTGATCGTCGGAGGCTACCATGTTGCTCAAGGCCCTTCGGATAACCAAGAGCTCGCCTTCGTCTGCTCCGAGATATTCTTCTTCCACTAGCTCTTCCTCTGCCCATGAAGGGCTGACTTCTTCTTCTTCATATTCCACAATGGCCATTATTTTTTTGTTTGGACACTCATTAGCATAATGTTCGAGGCCTTGACAATGGAAGCACTTGGAAGCTCGGGTGTTGGTGGGATTTGCTTTGTAGGGTGGCAGGTTGGATGAGGAGGGTGTGGAGTTGGGTTTTGAGGGTTTAGCCAAGGTAGTAGAGGTGGTTTTATGTTAGGAGTAGGCTGCTTTGGTGAAGGGGGAGGGGCGGCTAAAGGGAGTTTTTGTCCTCTTGAGTTGGGCTTCAACCTTGAGAGCAAGTTTGGATAGTTCTTCAAAGGTGTCATAGGATTGTAGCTCCACAACGTTAGTTATTTAGGTGTTAAGTCCAAATAGGTAACGAACCAAGGTTTGAGAATCATCTTCTTGTAAATCACACCTCATAAGGAGTTCTTCAAACTCTCGAGTGTAATCTTTGACCGATTGAGTGCCTTGTCTTAGTTGTTGAAGACGAGCAAAGTTGTCCCTTACGTATTGTTCGGGAAGGAACTTCTTCTTCATCAAGGCTCGCATTTTGAGCCATGTTTTGACGGGAGTCTTGCCTTCACATCTTCTCTTGGTGGTCAAGTTTGTCCACCAAGTTGAAGCGTACTTTCGAAGCTTCAATGCCACCAACTTAACCTTCTTATCTTCGGGGACGTCTTTGAAATCAAAGACGCGTTCGACGGTCTCCAACCATTCTAGGAATTCATCTGGATCGTTCTTCCCTTCAAAGGTCGGGAGATCAACCTTGAAGTCCGTGCAGTGGTTGCTCTCTCATTGGAGTTGACTCCGGTGTTATTGCTTGAATTACCCATTTGATGTACTTCGAACTCTTGCTCTTCATCACTCTCTTCGGGGGTATCCGCCATCTTCATCTTGGTGAGTTGAGCCACTTGTTTGGCTAAGTACTCAACTTGAGCTTGGAGGGCTGCGTTTGAAGCTTGGAGCTTCTCATTGGTTAAAGCTTGGGATTGGTTTGACATGGTAAAAGGTGGGAAGAAAAAGAAAGTGTGTTCTTGGTCCTCTAAGGATGGAGAAACAAGAGGCTTTGATACCAAATGTTGTATCTTGACTCAGGATAGGTAGGTTTTTAAGCTCAAACGTTACAGGACTAACTTTCGGATTTTCTAGAAGGGTGGGTAATCGATTGTCCAAGTGAGATAGTCGATTATTAGAGGGTTCTGTTTTCTGGGAGATTTTGGCAAGAACTACAGAATGGTATGATAGTCGATTGAAAATAATGAAACAATCAATTATCAGGGGATTCTGTTTTCTGGGAGAGTTTGGCAAAAACTATAGAATGGTATGATAGTCGATTGACAATGACGAAACAATCGATTATCAGGGGATTCTGTTTTTTGGGAGAGTTTGGCAGGAACTACAGAAGGGTGTGATAGTCGATTGTAGGTAAAGGATAATCGATTAATGAGGATTACTGATGTTTTACGAAGAATAGGTAATCGATTGTTGATGACAATAATCAATTAATAAAAGGAAGAGAGGTATTTTAGTGAAGGTGTATAACCACGTTGGTGTTAAGAGATATGACACACTCTTATCTTAACTTGGGGTTGAATCTAGTATCCAAATAAGATATCACACACTTATTTAAATAACTAGAACCTTAAACTCACACTTAAGGGAACCAACCTTAAGATATAGATTTAGGGATTTGAAACAACACACAAACAAGTGTATTATTTATGAAATAAGAGATTACAAAGATGCTTCAAAATGAGGCCTTAGGCCGGCTTAAATACAAACACAACAAAAGGGAAATATCCAAGCAACTTCCTTAACAAATATCTAGAATAATATTCAATTGATTAAATCTCACGTGGCTGGCTTTCAGCTTCCTCCTCTCGGTGCAAAACCTGTGATTTAGCGGGTTCAACCCTATTTGACTGGGAGCGATGGGTATGGGCTGGGCCTCCCTTCCCTCGCCCAACCGGGTAAATGTATTGACATGGGTCGCGCCATGTCCTAACCATAACTTGGCGGATTTGTGTTGGCATTCTTCCCTCTCTCCTAGCTTATCAAAGGCAGAGTCTTGGGAGTTTGCCGGTCTTTGGGTCTTGCCCTTCTTCTTCTTTTGGGTCCTAGGAATATCTCACTCTTCGTCATCCCTCTCGATTGAGATTTAATAACCCTCGGGGGTGCTCTGGGGACGACTTGATGGCCCGGTACCATTCATGGTGCTTACCATGTTGACAGGGGGCATCCCGCTCACCACATGTGGTCGAAAAGGTGACGATTGGGGCACCGGCGCCTAGAATGGAGTTGTAGGCATGGGAGCCTGCAACTCTAATTGTCTCGCACCTGGTAGGGCAAACGGGAACATGCCCAAGACAAACGACATTCCTCTGGCTTGTTGATACATGGCCATCACCTGGCCAAATCCTTGAATGGCCTGCGAATTGGCCAGGTCATTCATGAATTGTATCCTGCTCGGAGGAAATGTGACCCTAGGTTTGACAGAAGGAATTGTGATCGTGAATGGAGTGGGGATGATTGGGGCTGTGACATGGCTTAAGCCCAATGGCATCACCACAACAGAGTGAGCTGGCTGGGAAGTGACCACCGACACGGTCACTCCTTCATTGGTGGCTTGCATCAGGACGGAGGTTGTGGTGTGTTGTTGGCTTGAAGACATTCAGGATATGTGGTGTTTTCGTGAGTAAGCTCTCTAGATGAAAAAAGGAACATTATCGGTCCCACGGATGGTGCCAAAAATGATGTTGTAAATTAACCACCAGGCAAACTGTGCTAGACCAGGTCTATAATAGCTTGCTAAGTCTGGGGAATGAAAGATGCAGAAAAACAGGGAACGACCGATAGGACTGTAGGTTGAAAAACATGTAGTCCAATTGTTATTAAGTACGTAAAAGAGTATTCGGAACTATTACAATATGAACTCTAGAGAGATGAAATTTAGATCCCTTCATTTGAGGGTTACAAAAGTATTTATAAGGAAATGGAGGGGACTGACCGTCGCGTGTCCACATCAACCCACGTTCTCAGATGGCGCGAGGTGGCTTCCTTTTGTCCCGTAGTATTTTGTCTTTTTTCCTTGTCATTTTGTGCTGATTACTCCACCTTTGGCGCATAGCGCCCAGCTCAAATTGAGGGAATCCTCAATCTTTCGTTGAAATCGGTCACTACCGTCCAATCAATTTCGGAGCTATTCATGCTGACACTTTTACATTGTAGTAACCCTGTAGGTTCACCTCCTGCATTCTGAAGGGGCAAAAGACCATCAGCTCCAAGTCATGTACTCTGACCGGTGAGTCTAAAGCCTACATAGGTATACTTTTTTCGGAGTTGACCGATACTCTATTTTAAGCTCAAATTTCCATCCTAGTATGTTTGCATCTTGACCGGTCAACCGTTGTGGACTCGGATTCAGACTCTGTCCTGGGTGGGATACACCCATCAACAATGACAATCAACAAAGACTATTTGATAACTCTTAAAAGTTCGAGTACATACCTATTTATGAAATACTCATTGAATAAGTTATAAGAAAAAACTAAAGTAGAACATTCATATTTTTATCATCAAAATAAGACTTATACTGCAAATAATTTAGATTTATAATATCAAAAATATTATGAAATGACAATTTATAGTGTTACATTATAACAGTGTCGTAGTTTTAATTTTGGAATAAAAATATAAAACTCTTATTTTAGAGATAAAAGCTCTTCCGTCCGTCCCAAATTAAATTACATGTAACTATTCATATGCTTAAACATCATTTACTTTCTTTCTCTAATTTTGTTAGTCATTTGATAAATAATATAGTAATATCAGCACTAATTTTGTATATTTTTTTATATAATTTTTCAATATGTAATTCTTATTCTTTAGTTCTCACTATTTTTCATTTAAAATGATTTAAAAATAATTTAGTCAAAAATCATAAACTAAAACGGTAATTTATATTGGAAGGGAGGACTTATATCTTACTCTTTTTTTGAGCAACTTTTTTCTAATTAAATGGATGTAAACAAAACAACAGAGGAAAAAAGAAAAAGAAAAAAAAGTTGAAAAGCGGAAATCCCTAAATGTGAAATTCCCAAATGCTGAACTCAAGCCCTAACCCTAGACCTACCCACAATTTCTTGCTTCAGATCTCTTGAAACAAAGCTGTTTTTGAAATTCAATTCTCGCTTCTTTTTCCGGACTCCAAGCAATCAAATCCCTTAAATCTCTTCCTTTATTAATGTTTCGGTAATCTAAAAGAATTTGCAAGCCTCTTTTTTCTTTTCATATTTCACGGCAGTCATCCTTTGTTTCTACGCGATTGATGTGAGATTCACAATATTAGTCCGGCTTATACAATGTGACGAAAAGTAGTTGAGAATTAGTCGAAATAAAAGTATACAAAGGTAAACGACACAGTATTTATGTAATTCTTTTATGTATAACGTATATAGACGTATACTTTCTCATGATCGTAACTTATATAGAGGGAGGGTGTAGTGGTGGGAAGGGATGGGGAGCTCGGAAACAGAAGAAGGAATAGTTGATTATGGTGTGGGGTGCATTGTTTGGGTCAGGAGGCGAAATGGGTCATGGTGGCCTGGTAAAATTCTAGATCCACATGAGCTTTCAACTTCCCATGTGATGACACCGCGATCTGGAACTGCAGTGAAGCTACTCGGAAGGGATGATGCAAGTGTGTAAGTCTGCTTTTACTGAAATTGTTTCATTTCTTAGGATGTTTCTACAGTTGTGAATGTATCTTGGTTTTGGAGCTACAGACCATCATAATCTCATAGGTTCTGGTTTTCCAAAAATGGAAAGTGTTTTTTTTCAATTTCGCATCTGTAGACTTTTCTGGTTTAAGTGATCAATTGTGGTGACTATTCCAGTAATTTAAGGAGATGAAAGGGCCAGAGATGGTTACTCTGAATATAAAATGATGGATAGTCTTGATTGATGTTGTCATGCAGATATTCATGCTTCTCCTAGATCAGTTGCACATGCTGAGATTGTAGTTAGGCAATAAGGTGACACTACCCATAATATCAACATCCTTGGAAAGATTTCTATTTTGATAAAATTCTCCTTTGTGGTTTCTTCTGTATTAAGGTGTCTGGTGCTAAACCTTTGTTAAGTAATGCTACCTTCACATACTAGGTGACCTGGATGTGATTTAGGGAGGGATCAGTTATTGTTTCACCTTCATATTAACGCATTCCATTCATTGCTGGTAAAACAACCATTTCACATTTATGTCATCCGAGTCTGGATGTGAACTCAAGATTATACAGCGGAGTTTGTCTGAGAATTCTCTGGTAAAGTGAAAGAAAAATGTGATATAAAATGACGGACACCTTTTTTGTAGGTTGTGCACTGAATCTCTAAATAAAGCAAATTTTTTAGTTTTTCTACCATTTGACTTCGATTACTATTCGTTATCGTAGTGTTTATGTGTTCTTTTTTAGGGATTGGTATAATTTGGAGAAGTCAAGGCGCGTGAAAGCTTTCAGATGTGGTGAGTTTGACGAGTGTATTGAACGAGCAGAAGCTTCTCTAGGAATGCCTCCAAAGAAAAGAGAGAAATATGCTCGTCGTGAAGATGCAATAATGCATGCTCTTGTACTTGAAAGGCAGCTGGTAGGGGGGAAAAATGGGACAAGAAATTATTCGTGTGATGATATGATAAATAAATCGCCAGATGACACTGTAAGTAGAGTATTGACATCTCCAGAATGCTTTGGAAATAAAAACCAAGGGAACTTATCCGTGAAATCTCATAAAGCTTTAGTGGGATCTGTGTCCCCTCATAAGGATGAGATCGGTGTGTGTGGAGATGTAGGCCGAAAGGGAAACCAACTTAGTGGGGATAATAATTATTCAATTTTGCCCCCCAGGAAAAGAGGTTTGATGGAGTTTGGACTTAGTGCACCCCCTCCAAAGCATAAAACATCTCTGGTTGTCTCAAGTGGCATCAACAAACTTTTCTCTGAGAGAATTGATCGTCTTGAGGGATGTCCAAACAAAGTAGGAATCGTTAGCTCTGAAACTCTCCAAGTGTCAAAGAACAGTGATGAGCTATCAGTTTCTTACCTTCATCCTGATAGGAGTAGTAGTGGTTTCACTTCTGTCCCAAGGGAGGAGCAGTTGGGAGTTATGTACCATGCAAAGAAAAGAAGGCATGGCTTTCACGCAGATGATTTCAGAGGCTGTTCAAATGCTAGTAAGGTTTATCTCCCCACCACTCGGACAAATATCTCAACTTTAAAGTTGGAAGGAAGTTACTGTCCTTGCCAAGACGAGTCATGTGAAGAAAAAACTTCTGGATCCACAGAATGTACTGAAACTGATTCTTCCGAGACCGATTGTGAGGAATCGGATTCAGATGATGATATTGCAACCATATCAGGTATAGATTCATTTCCTTTTGACTTGGCTTGTCTGTCATGTGCATGCTATAGAGAAATAGTCTTTTTTCATCAAAACAAATATGCCTTTAGGTCTCTCTCTTGGTGAAATAATCATTTTTTTCGTAAAATAGCGGTTGATTTAAAAAGGTCATTTGAAAAATCTGTTTCACAAGCATTACACCTGGAATTGTCCATTGCTTTTTCATAATATGCTTTTCTGATAATGCAGAAGGGGCTGCATCCATAGAATTACAACCTAAATATTTGGGAAGATCTCAACCACTAGTTAAGCATGGGGGCACAAGCAGTGAAGATTCTGATGACCTGTCAGGAGCAGATTCTCATCCTTGTATTAACCATAGTGTCTCGGCTTGTGTTGGGGTATCAAAATGGCTACTCAAAGGGAAAAGGAACAACCGAGGTTTTGCTAAAAAGCCTCCGGATACATGCGTTGAGAAAAATCGTTTCAAAAGACCCGGCTATGTGATAACCAGTCCTGCCACTGATAATAAAAATCATGGTGCTAGTTCATTTATGAAATCCCCTAGAGTGAATATATCTGGATATCCATCTAGAGGTGGTGGTAGCTGCGGGAATAGTGCCAATTGGGGGGACTTATCTAAAGGAGATTGGGTGAACTGTGGGGGGGAGTACCTTGATCATCCTTCGTATAATAATATTTATCACCATCTTGGTGTGCCAAGGTCACTGATAGAAGTGGATTTAAAAGTCCAAGCTGGGTACAAGAGACAGCCTATGCCTTTGATTTCAGTAACCAGTAAGAAAACTGGCCATGTGATAGTGGGGCACCCTGTGAAAATCGAAGTCCTTGATAACGGCTTTGTTGAGTGTTTGTTTGCTGAGGCTGATGATGCTGCTATATATCGAAAAACATTGGACGATGAATCATCATTCCAGCCTACATGGAGGACTGCCCGTAGGAAAGCTGGCGCTCGCGTTCCATGTCATCATCCATCATCATCATCAATGAAGCGCAACAGAAATGCTAGGAAAGCTACTTCCACTGGTTTTCATCACAAGGCGACAAGTATTAGTCTGATGATGAAGAAGAATAGCACCACACAACAGCTTCCTCCATCAGATAAGGCTCTCCCCAAAAAGGCCCTGAGAAACATAACTTCTCCTTCCACTCATCATCAGAAGATACGAACTCTCTCATCAATTGCCTCACAACAGAAACAATGCATTGATGCAAACTGCAACAGATTCCATGTTGATGGGCTGATCAAACAAGGGAGTATGCTCACGGTGGCATGTATTCCAGTTAAGCTGGTTTTCAGCAGATTAAACGAGGATTTGGCGGGGGGTCTTCATCCTTAGAACCAAGCGACGTGCCTGATCTTTTCTTAAGAAATCAGTAATACTGCTAACATGTACTCTTCATTATAAGCAATAATCTCCTTTTTTGCGTGATAAATATGCATGAGCAACCCATCTATTGCTGGTGGGATCTTTGTTTATCCCGAAAATTGTTGTTGGGTAGCCAGCCTAGGAGCTCACCTGTATTTTTGTTGTAGGCTACAAGAACTATAAAAATTTCTTCAGATGTCTTGATATGAAGGATGAAGACCTTTGCTGCAAAGAAGATTATGTGTGTGAGTGCACAACATAATATTTATCTCCATTTTTTTTTTCAACGTTAGGGTGTCTGTTGTGTAGTTCGTTGTCTTTATTCGAATTCTCTCCTTTTAGTTTTGGCACTTTCGTTTTTCTTTATATCTACATGGTGAAGATGGGCAATTGGTAACTGCTCTATTATGCTAGACGATATACTCCCTCTGTTTGTCTGGAAAAAAACTTGTTTCGATTTCCGCGGATTTTATGAAGTGTTAAAAATTTGATGGAATGAGAAATTCTGTGAAGTGCATGTATATTTCTTTAAATGAAAATGATGTACCTAAGATTTTTTTGGGGTTATTAATAAAAATAGAAAGTCTTTTTTTGTGAGACAAGTATTATTCAAGCAAAAAGGAAGAACGAAAATATACATTTGGGAACTAGCCTTGAGCTCAGATTTTTACAAATATTTGGGTTGGTTGAAGGTGGGTGGAAAGATAGTGGTAGGAAGTGTTAATAGAGAACGGTTATCGGGTTATGTTTGGAAACCATTAGTTCAACCAAAGTTTGGGATCCGTTTGGTAAGTTTTGGGAATATGAAAAGATGTGTTATGAAATCTGAGAGAAATAATATAAATTTTGAAATTTGAAACAAATTTGTTTGAAGAGATTTAAAATTATAATTTAATTAGTGATAAGCGGGGGTGACCAGCAAGGGAGTGGTTGGCGGTAACAATGATAGCCGGTGACAGATAATGATCAACGGTTGTGATGGTGTAAATATAGCTGGGTGGGTTAATCGGGTTTGACCTGGACACACTCGACCCGTAATATAAAACACACAACAAGAACACAAAGTATGACCTAGACCAGGTAAATCTCCTCAGTCCGAATTATATTTCTTACTCTATCTCAAGAGTGAACTTTAGTGAGAGAAAAATTGCCTCCCCTCCTCTATCCAATATCATCGTATTTATAGAGGAGGATTTGTGACCTTCCTCTGTTCATCCATGGACAAAATAGGAAGCTCGTGGGAAGGTCACTGTAGATAATGGGAGCACTGTACAATCATGGACTTGCTACCAATACAACCAAAAAGCACTGTTCAATCAAAGACTAAAATGGATATTCTCAATCCAATCAACCCTATGACAAACATCCCTTTCACTGTATGCCTCGTGATGGATGAGCGGCGGGGTGTCCCCTTGACCTCTGACGTGATTCCTCATGCCTAAGAGAAATGGAGCAATTCAAAGCCAAGTAAAGTGATATGACCAATCACCTTTTCTGAAAGGTTACCCGGTCATTTCTTGCGCTCAACCCGTCTCTTTGGTCTTTTAGAATTCTTCACAACATTAGGTGATATTTTGGCTATCGCCCAAAATGTGACCGGTCACTTTTTTTGACCCGTCCCAATCGAAGAGTTGACCTCATTTGGTGACTTGATAAAATGAGCGGTCATGTTTTGACCTGTCCCTTTCGGTTATCCGGGTCGGGTATAAGGATATACCCATCAAGAAGTCCTCCACTTACCGGCCTTGTGAGGAAATCATCAAGGGCGGGAAGTAAGGTGAAGAAAAGTGACTTATTTTAGGAGTAGTTTAGATATTTTATTTTTAAAAGTTTACGAAAATAACTAACAGACAACTTATTTTGGGACGGAGAAAAAAGGCAAATAGACAATTTAAAATGGGACAGAGGGAGTACATTTTTTGGTTATTACCTTTTTCTTGCTATTAAATACTTTATAAAACGTTAATTTTTTATTGCTATAATTTCGGACACTTACCATTTTAACTTCACATTACCATATGTAATGGTCATACTCTTTGGGCGGGAAAACGCAATATTGACTCCATGTCTTTTTAAATAAAGTATGAATATGAATTTTTAAAAGACTTTGAGGTGCTTACTTTTGAATCTATATATACACATTTTTATAACCAATTATTAAATGCCAAATTATTTATTTTACTTTGATTTTAATGTGTACAATATTAAAGAACGCATTACATATATTTCTATACTCATTTCAAAATATTATATTGAAGGTAATTCAAAAAATCAATAAAAATTTTATTCAACTCCGTGCCTGGCTAGTTGAACCAAAATTGACAGACTTGCTACATCAAATTTTTTAGAATTTTAAAATAGAAAATCAAATTTTTTGTTGGCTGGGGTTTTGAGCACTGGTTTGACGATCGGATAGGTTAAATTGCTGGATGGATTATTGTATGTGTACCCCGCAGTTTTGCACCAACACTTTGTGTTGGTGTAAAACTAATTTTTGTTAAACGCACCAACATTTGTGTCCGTGTGAATTTTTATTAACGCACCAGCACTCGTGTCGGTGTAAACCATCGAAATTTTTGTGCAAACCTGTGGTGTACAAATGTGGTATATTTTATGGTGTAAGTGTAGCATGGTCCTAAATTGCTCACCGTACATTTGATTGGTTTTAGAGGGTTGGAATTCTTTAGATTGTCATAGTCAACGCTTTAGATCTCAGGTTTGTTTCGCTGATCTGTTAGGCTTGGGGAAATGGCAACCGATGAACCAGAGCATCCTACTCTCTCTTCCATCGGACAGGTTCATATTCTTGTTACTGTTCCAGCTTTTGGCTCATCGTAGCGCAGACTTACCTTAGAATGATCTTATTTACGATTTTTTTTAATATATTTTCTTGGAATCTATTTGCTTCTAATTGACAAACGTAGCAAGGGATGCCGTGGGGTGGCGTGCAAGAGCCTCTTCTCCATGGCCAACAACGACAAGTGGAGAATTATTCCGTTCTTGCATCTATACTGCCGTGAGTTTTTCCACTTAAGTTTAAAATTGAGCTGGCCTACTTGTCCACTCTGCTCATTTGGTTTTATTAGGAGTACTGCTGTTATTCGATCGTATTGGATTCGTCGGTGGGTTAGCATGATCTATTGTACTTTTCTTTTTAAATTTGTGGAAGTTGGTGATTGGGACTTCTCTAGTAATGTCACACCAAACGTGATATAGGCAGTATATCTCACTTGAAAATTGTTTCTGAGTAGAGTGAGATGTACACATATTTTATCACTACTCCAAAATGTAAAGATGCTTTTTTCTATTTGAAGACCCCTAGCATTAGCTTGGGCCGTAATTTGGTAAGACAATACATATTGAGGTTTAAATTTTTGCATTCCTTGTATATGTTAAAGAAAACCAAACCAATCCAAGTCTTAGCATATCCCACTTCAAAGGATGGGATTGTGAGATTTACACCGTTCATTGTCAATGGAGCTAAAAGAGTCATATTTTATGTTCCCTAAATGCATCAATGTATAAGATTCTAATGGAAACAATCTCTATGTTTTTTACAGGGATAAGCTTGCATACATTTTTACCCCCAAACTCAACAAAATTGGGATTATACTGGGTTTGTTGTTGACTTGTAGTTGTTGCCATTGTGTTACTTCTCTATCACTAGAAGTGAGGAGTTTTCGATAAAAAATTGCAAGAAGTGAAACAAATGAGAATAGTGTGTTAGAAATATGTTTGGGAACAAAACTTGTTTTAAAAAAAATACTCCCTCCGTCCCATAATCATCTTCCTATGTTCTTATTTGGATTGTCCCAAAATTTTCTTCAACTTTTTTATAAGGAAAAAGTGATGTGGTCCTAATCATATCTATTTCCTCTACCCAAACTGCAACCACACACATTCTACTTTATTAAAAACCGTGACAGGTAAGACCAAGAAGAATTTGATGGCTAGATCGATTGGTTTGGGGTCAAATTTGAAGAGGATCAGATGATTGACTTGAAAGTTGAGATGGATTGACTAATCGACTTATGAAGAAGGATTTACCTTGCAGAGTTGCAGCTAGGTAAATCCTTCTTCATAAGTTGATTAATCAATCCATTTCATCTTTCAAGTCGATCATCTGATCCTCTTCAAAGAAAGCCAGTTAAGTAAGGGCTTTTCCGGCATGGATATTGACAGAGGAATTTGGCCTATGAAGAAAGGAGATCAAACAAGAAATTCCTAGCCTGGTTGAAGCAAAGTCATAGTCTCATAGATTTCAGCAACAATAGGCTATGGCGAGCAGGACAGTTCATGTTACCTCAATTCCCATATAAATTGAGAATAAACGCAGCATCGTAATCCATTACAAGAAAGCCTTTTTGGGATGGAGGAAGTAGAACCGTTGCAATAACCCTCCTCTTTAACCACGGTGCCTTCATACAATGTGACATCGTTTATGATCTCCTTCTCTTTTTGGAGATGGAAACCACAAAACCAAATACTTGAACCTGTATTTTGTGGTACTCTTTGCCCCCTTTTCTCAACACTTTTACTCCCTCGTCATTGTGATTCTCTCTAAAGTTGCACACTAGTATTCAGTTTAAAGCAATTAATGTTGAAGCGTTGTGTTTCAAATATCTTCCTCCACTGCTTCAACTTTGCGTTCACTTCTTCGCACTTCTTAGCTATTAGTGCAATGTCATCTTCAAGTGGCATATGTTATGGGACGACCTCCTTGGTCAATTTGGAATCCACATCTAACTTTGCAACAAAGAGAAATGAACTTATTTTTAGTCCCTAGTATAGCTTTACTTCCACCAATGAAAACAATCCCCCCCCCCTCGCACGTGCGCAAGGGTACTTACTTGCACGTGCATATCTTGCATTTACATAACCTACATGCTTGACACCTTTTAAAGCTCAAGGCTTATCCAAATTACTTCACGCCATAGTTTTAAAGGGGAGCGCCTCCCTCGCCTAAGGCGCCTCAGGCATTTAGGCGACCTTATACCGCCTGTAGATGTTCGGTGAGGCGCTGTCCGCCTTTCTCGCTTGAGTCGCTCGCTTTTCTTGCCTGAGTTGTTTGCCTCTCTCGCCTTACTGGCTATGGGCCTTTTAAAAATGAGTTGGCATTTTTTTAATACATTTCTATGTATTAAATACTTGTTTTTTGAGAAACATATATAGTAACTACTCTAATTGGTTTGTTTAACATGTATGACTTGCTTGGGATTGACATTATTAATTGCACTGCACTATACATTTTATGTATGTGTGTGTATGCCCTAAGTTCGCCTTTTGGCCGCCCGCTTCTCGCCTCGCCTTTTGCCTTAAAAAAGGCCCTCTCGCCTGCCTCTCGCCTTTCGCCTTTCAAAACTATGCTTCAGGTTTAGGGTGAAAAAGGTTCAGGCTAAGGCTCTAAGCTTGAACTATGCACTTTCGAGTTAGGCTCTAAATAACAGTAGCTCAAACTCATCCTAATACATGCTTAGTAGTTTGGCTTCAAATTTGGGTCGCAAATTTTTACAAGGCTCTCAATTCAAATTCAAATTTGATCGAACTCAAGTCAAGCTTAGTCAATTTGAGCGGCTTGATTTGTAATTTTGTATGCATCCCAACTTAACCTGGTACACTTTCGCAAACTTTCTATGGGTCCATGAATAGAACACCATGTGCATCTTCTTACCACTCTCTATAATTCTCCATGGGGCATTTGAAAATGTAGATTGACTTGCTTGATGGTCTTCCTGGCATGAGACCAAAATTATTCTAAGTTACCCATAAAAAAGTTACCTTAGTTTTGCTTTGCACCGTGGACTATCGCTCCCCCATTGTTTATGGTGTGGCTTAGTAGCTCTATGTTATGATAGTTGTCATGACTTTAGATGTCGCCTTTGCTCTTATAGAGTGGCACCCTAGGCCATCTATCTGATAATTTGTTATAGAAACGAGATGAAGAACGAATTTTTGAGAGTCGTGATAACACTTTCAAGTTCACTATTTGGGCGTTCAATCCAAAACATTTGGGTAAAATTCAAATTTTGATCAAGAATAAGTATGAATTTGTGATGAATTTTTGAATTGGATCATAGATCAATGAAATGAAACTTAATTTTATAGAAGTCTTCATCGCGTGAAGGGTTGCTTCCATTAAATAGGAGACCATTCAGTAAACCGTGTCCATTCGGTAAAGCGTGTCCATTCGGTTTGGGAGTCATCTAATTTTGATAGTGAAATTCCGCTCATTTTGAGACCTGAAATATCACATAAATTCCAAGTAAATTTTTAACAAAGCAAAGTTGGTCAAAAGTTAAAATTTGACCAGGGGCTCTTCCCCTTGAACCCCGCTCCCAGAAGCGCTACCCCTAGACCCCGACAAGGGGGCAATGCCCCCCTGGAACCCCCTCTGTTTAGTATCACATTAAACTGAAATAAGTGTGCGCTCCGCACCTCCTGACTTGTTTAATGTATAATATGACTCCATTTGATTAACAAGTCAATCCAATTACACTAAAATATTAATAAAATTCAAGGCTTTGTTCAACAGCTAAAGGTTTTGCCCTATTAAGAAAACATATTGCTAGACTCTGTATAAGTTAAAAAAAGTTCAGTTTTTTTAGAAACTTTAGATTTCTTTTTTACATCAAAACTACAAAAGCTAGAGTAGGTATAAACATGAACGTAGTAGAATAGAGCAAGATTATTTGAACCATGCCCTCCTCAGAGATAATTGTTGGAGCTCCAATTTGGAATGTTGCTAAAAATGTAGAACTCCAAGGGTAGTAAATTTGGAGAATTTGAAGGAAGCACCCTCTTTTATATTTCAATAAATGAACACAGGTGTTTTTTGAAATTTAAAACATAGTCACAAAGACAAAACTTTAAAATAACCAATAACTTATTAGATTGTCATTTGATATATCTTGTCCTCTACACATCTTGTGAACAATGAAACAATTAAGTAATTAATGTGTCTAGATTTGGATTTCTAAAATACTTCCTATGTCAACACAAATCAAATTTGCATTTTTCTTTTCCGTTCGTCCTAAAATAAACTTCACACTTTTTTCATTTTCTTTTAAGAACAATAATAATTGACTCAAAAGATTTCTCTTTTCTATATAAATTCCAACCACAACCCTTTGTAGGACCTAAGCCGCTACCAACTCTCCCAAAACAAATTGAGAAGGCCAACTCACTTATCATTTCCAACAATTTTCTTGAACTCTGTGATGTGAAAGTGTTAACTTGATTTAGGGATAGAGAGGATACAATAAATGAATGGAAGGAAACATGCATGGTTGCTTGTTATTCCTCTTTCCAAAGCATCCAGGCAGACTGGAAGTTCCAAGTGTAACTTTATTAGCTCCCCTATCCGACTTCTGGTGCGTGCACATAAAAAACTCTAACTACCCCCTCTCCTACCACTAAGTAGTACTCCCTTCATCTTAAAATGATATTCCCTATTTGAACAATGTGCAAAATCCCATGAATTTTAAAATGATTTTATTTACAAATTGGCATAGAAAAAAAAATAAAACTTATAGAGTAAATCATTTGGGGGGGGGGGGGGGAGGGAGTATGAAATTATGAATTGTTGTGAAATCTAGAGGATAGATCTGATAGAGTGACAAAGTGGTGATTACTAATCTCAGCTTGCAGTCTTGCACTGGATTACTTGAAAAGTAGAGGATTGATCTGATAAAGTGACAAACTGGATTACATGCTGAAATACTTCCAATCTTTTGCAATTTGGTAANATGTGCAAAATCCCATGAATTTTAAAATGATTTTATTTACAAATTGGTATAGAAAAAAAATAAAACTTATAGAGTAAATCATTTTAGGGGGTGGGGGGGTGGGGAGGGAGTATGAAATTATGAATTGTTGTGAAATCTAGAGGATAGATCTGATAGAGTGACAAAGTGGTGATTACTAATCTCAGCTTGCAGTCTTGCACTGGATTACTTGAAAAGTAGAGGATTGATCTGATAAAGTGACAAACTGGATTACATGCTGAAATACTTCCAAGCTTTTGCAATTTGGTAAACTGATGTTTACTAATGACCCCCATGAAGTCTTGTTTTTGAACAAAAAAGTTCTAATAATCCACTTAAAATTTCAGGTTTCTGTTCCCCGCTCTTGGAGGATTACTCTATGGTTATGATATTGGTGCTACGTCATGTGCCGCAATTTGTATAGAGGTCCCCCCCCCCTCCCCTTTCTCTGTTTGCTAATTCAGTCCTTAAAAGTTTCATGAACCCTTCACAATTTTGAATTTTTTTACTTCTATTTGTCGGAATAAGTATGAAATTTAATCAGTAATCTTTCTTTACTCCTGCAGTCTGCCACATCAAGTGGAATTTCATGGTATGACTTGTCATCTGTGGAAGTTGGTCTCATAGTAAGCCTTGCATTTCTGCTTGTAATAATTTCCAGTTACATGTGTCTTTACTCGCCCAGTTTTTCTTTAACCCACTTTTTACCTCGTAAACATGTGTTACCCACTGATCATTACAGACTAGTTGCTCACTGTATGGTGCTTTAATTGGTTCTCTCCTGGCCTTTAATGTGGCAGATTTCATAGGTTAGTTTTAATTCTTAAAATCCAACATGGGTTTCATGCTGATATTGCATCACCTTATGAAGTTATCATATGATTTAAAATGTTTGTAGGACGAAGAAGGGAATTGATTCTGTCTTCAATACTATATCTTATTGGAGCAGCAATAACAGCATTTGCCCCCATCTATGCCATATTGGTGATTGGACGTTTTATCTATGGTGTAGGAATTGGGTTGGTATGATTCTTCCTTCACACTTATGTTTGTATAATGAACATTTTCAAAAAAAAACTGGGAATTATGTATCTTTTGCCCCCTAAATTTCATGCTGCAAGACTAATGCTTATCACTAGAATGTCATGAACTTCATTGGCTTGCTTATCTCATTAAAGCAACCATGTACTTCATTGAGTTGCCTAGAAAAGGTTCTTAATTTGTTGTTGTTGGAGTTTACTGTTAAGATTTTGAGTTTCACTCTGAAAGATCAACCTATTATTAGAAATATCTCAAAACCTTGTATATGAATTTGTTTTTGTATGAAATGGTGGAAAACTAAATGCTATATATCTAACTTCTGATATACGCTTTTTTTCTTGTCATTTGTGACAGGCAATGCATGCTGCTCCAATGTACATTGCGGAGACATCACCCAGCCAGATACGAGGGCTGCTTATTTCTCTTAAAGAATTCCTCATAGTCTTTGGAATGCTGGTAAGTAGTGCAAGCTATCCTTGAAAACATTTGTTGTGCCTGATCAAAGCTTTGAAAAGTTTTCATTTCCTTCTTTTCTTATGAGCATGTGTAGTTAGGCTATACAGTTGGCAGCCTTCTGGTGGAAGTGGTTTCTGGTTGGAGGTATATGTATGGAATTAGCGTTCCATTATCAATTTTTATGGGAATTGGAATGTGGTGGCTTCCTGCATCACCTAGATGGATTCTTTTATGTGCGATTCAAGGAAAGGGTGATATGCAGGGTCTACGAGAGACAGCTGTAAATTGCTTATGCAGGGTGAGGAGTAAAGCAGTTAATGAGTCAGCATATGAGCAAGTGGATGAGATTCTGTCCGAGCTTTCTAATCTTAGTGAAGAAAGAGAGGCTACATTTGGAGAAATCTTCCAAGGAAAGTGCTTGAAAGCCCTAATAATAGGTGCAGGACTAATCCTGTTCCAACAGGTGCCTTTATTTCCTTTTTATAAGTGCAGACCACTTTCAATCATTTGAATCAACAAGTGTAATTCAGAGCTGTTTCTTTACTCACTTCTTGCAGATTGCCGGGCAGCCTACTGTTCTTTATTATGCAGCAAAAATCTTTCAGGTAAGCATTGTCAGATCTTTGCTGTAATTTCAAACCTAATGTTTATCTGGATTTCTTTCCTCCAACACTCTTGGTCTTGTGAAATTGTAGGATGTGGGATTTGCTGCAGCAGCTGATGCCACAAGGGCCTCCATCTTTCTTGGATTGCTGAAGGTGCTCTCTTAACAACAAATTCTCATCTTTAATTTTCTTTTATGCCTTCCTTCATGTTCCATGCATTCCCGTTTAATTAAAGTATGTGAGTCACACTTTCCCTCAATTAAAAGCTTAAACTTATGGTGAAACTACTCATTTGAACCGGCACCTTGATACAAATATATATTTTCTGAACGGAGCACCGGAGATGCTCCATATATATATATATATATATATATATATATATATATATATATATATATATATATATATATATATATATATACACACACACATATATATACATCTATACATTATTTAAAAAGACATGAATTTTTTCCCGCCCATGCATGAGATTCATATATGGAAAATGTTAACAACATAAATGGTAGTTTAATTATTTTACCTTAATGTTTTTTTTCCATTTTAAGTATGTTTTCATTATTATTTTTATTTAAATGTTACACCATTTAAGCATTTAAATTCAATTAAATTAAATAGTAGTGAACCATTGGGGAATTGAAGTATGGAAATGAAATACACTGCCATTTAAATATTAAAATAAAATTTAAAAATTACAAATTAATAAAGTATGGGCAGGATTAAAATGATTTATTTCAAACAAACTACAAATTAATTATTTATCATTAAAAAATATTATAATTTACAAGCACAAACGCGTAAAAATGGTAAGTTTTCTAAATTAGATTAGAAAATAAATATGGTACGGTAAGTAGATGATAACATTTAAATAAAAGAATACAATAAAAAACTACAAATTAATATTAATACTATAATTTAAAAGAATGGAAACGTTTTAAAAATGACAAATTTTCTAATTAGAAAAGTAGAAAATAAATAGATATGGTATAGTAAGCAATTAGCACCATTTAAAAACGAAAATAAAATACTCCGTAAATGGTAAGTTTTCTTAAATAAATTAGGTTAGTGTTCTAAAATAAAAGAGAAAATAAAATACTCCCTCCGTTCCCAATTTGATTACAAATTGCGGGTTACGGAGTAAAATTTCTTACTTTTTGCAATCATTTTATTTACAAATTGATATATCAATAAGATATAAAAATAGAAATCACCCTAAATAGGACTAAAACATAGAGAAAAATACTAAAATAGGACTTTCATGTTTTTTCCCGAAATAGGACTTTGCACTGTGGTAATGTGACTTTGTCCTGTGGTAATGTGACAGTGTACATGTGCAAATTACTATACTTTTTTGGTAATGTATATGATCATGTATGGTAATGTAAGTCTTATTTCGGGAATAAAAACATGGAAGTCCTATTTTGGTTTTTTTTCAATGTTTTAGTCCTACTTTGGTGTTTCTCCCATATAAAAATTACATATTAAACAACTACGTCAAAAGTTCTACAAAACAAGAAGTGATAAGAATATTTTATTTTATCAAATACTTAATGAAATCGCGTAAACAAACAAAAGTTATCGAGAGAAGAGAAAAATTGTAATCTATTTAGGGACAGAGAGAGTACATCTAAAAATGATAAGTGTTCTAAAATAAATTAGAAAATAATGTGGTTTGGTAAGTAATTAGTACGATTTAAATACAAAAATAAAATAAAAAACTGCAAAATTAATATAAATACTATACTTTAAAAACATGATTTTTTTAAAAGGTAAGTGTTCAAATTAGAAAATTAGAAAATAAATACGGAATGGTATGTCACCGTGATAAGCAAATGGTACCATTTAAACACAAAATAAAATAAATGGTAATTGTTCTAAAATAAATTAGTTAAGTGTTCTAAATAAATTAGAAAATAAAATAATTATTAAAACGATAAGTATTCTAAAATATATTAGAAAATAAATACGGTACGGTAAATAAATGATACCATTTAAATAAAATAAAATAAAGTAGAAAACTATAAAATAATACTATCAATTAATACTACAATTTACAAGCATGGTAACATGTAAAAATGGTAAGTGTTATAAAATAAATTAAAAAATAAATATGGTACATTAAGCAAATGGTACCATTTAAATGCAAAAATTAAAAAATTATAAATTAATACTATTAATACTATAAGAATGGAAACATGTAACAATGGTATAAGTATTCTAAAATAAATACTATTAATACTATAATTTACAAGCATGGATA